GGGTACGGCAACCCACTGCTCTTTGCCCACTAATTATCTCCATTAGCTGGTGATGTTTTTTTGTGTCCTGTATAAATAGTTCTTTTTGAAAATATAAAAAACAACATCCAGTAAAAATGTACAATGATCCTTTCCAGCCTTCGTAGCATAATGTATCCAAATGGCCCAGCAGTAGCCAAAAAGAAATCATTTTGAGTGTACTTTGTAATAATTTCACCAAAAAAGGTAAAAAGCTTCAAAAGTAAGTTGTGCTCCTCAGTATGAGAGTATGAGAGCCAGTCCACAAAATAATGACTTTGTTAGAGCCCATTGTTTAACTGTTTAAATCATCTAAATATGTTACAGGTGCATAAAACAATATATTCACATTTTAACAGTTTATTTTCCTTGGAAAGCAGCCACAGACTGGTTAGAAAAGTCTGTCCCCTGCCAGTAGGTTTAAAGAAGAACAAGACATCTAAGTGTAGACTTTTATTAACCACACATGGAAAAAAACGTTATAATGCAGAGTTTGCCTGCAGATGCTCGCAGAAATACTTGATGTGCCTTTTTATTCATTTTAAACGTGAGTGCATTATAATTTTTTTTTTTCATGTGCGGTTAATAAAAGTCTACACTTAGATGGTGGCGCCCCCTGTCCTTTGAATTGTTTTCAGTGTACAAGTACAGAGGAACCATCCTATACAGGCGTACCTGTTTATGAACACCTCGGTTAATGTAATTTTCAGTTTACAAATGAAAATCCATTGAGAATAATGCCTCGGTGTACACATTTTTTTCACAACACAAACAGATTAATTGGTTTTCAATGCATTTAGAAATTTTTTTTAATCATGTCCCTGTACAGTACTATGCCTTTAAAGTGCACTTTATAAAGAGTTTTGAACAGATAAGACTTTTTTTTTTTACTTTTTTCTGACCTCTGGAACGGATTAATTGGTTTTCAGTACATTTATGAATTCATTTTTAATCATGTCCCTGTACAGTATTTATGCCTTTAAAGTGCACTTTATAAAGAGTTTTGAATAGATAAGTCTTTTTTTTTTTAACTTTTTCTTACCTCTGGAACGGATTAATTGGTTTTCAATGCATTCTTGTGGGAAACTGCGTTTCGTTTTACGAATTTTTTGTAATATGAAAAGTCCCGCAGAACGCATTAACTTTGTAAACCGAGGTACGCCTGTACTCTTATCAGAGGAGCTGCACCCATTCATAGGAGTGAATAGATGATACTGGTCTCTTATGGACTACATACTGAGATCATTGATATAAATACACAATTTCAATCCCCATTCCTTTCCTTTCATTTCTTACTTAACCCAGTCCTTGTACCATAAAAAAATATTTTTTGGTTTAAAGAAGGATCTTTGCTCTCTCTGTTTGGAAAGCAGAGGTCTCTCTGCAGAAGTCTGGCATTCTCCCTGCAAAGACAGAGTCCAATCAGCAGGGAGTCTATGCTTTGCCTTTTGCAGAGCTATTGGTCTGACTTAGTAGGAGGTGTGCTGGACTTCTGCAGAGTGGCCACTACTTCCACACAGATCAAATATCCTCATCTTCAATCCTCTGGCAGGGAACAGGCTTTTCTACATAGGCTGTTGCTGCTTTGGCAAAAAAATTAACTTTGGGACATTGAGCACTTTTTTTTTAGTTTGGTGCAGCTGGAATGTATTTTGCTTATTTAAACTTAAAGTTTAGTTGGGCTTTAACTAAATCACAAAATTCCAATAAGCCATAAAATTATCTAAAAACATGTATACATCTCTATCAATGCCTCCTTCTAAAGTGGTATGTATACATAGAGCCTCTTATCTATGTAAATATGAGGAGCTATACATATCTTTATTATTTATTGGGTCTGTTCATACATACTGTATATATTTCTTTTAATGAAGAGTTTGATGGGGATTTATAGCAGGGGTCTCCAAACTTTCTAAATAAAGGGCTAGTTTACTGTTCTTCAGGCTTGGGGGGGCAGGCAAACTTTGGCCAGTAGAAAATTCCCTGATAGTCAGTGATAGTAAACTATGTCCCATTGTTGGTTTTAGCGGAATAAATAGTGCCTATCGTTGGTATCGATGGGAGGAATAGTGCCACATCTATGGTGTCAGCTGGAGGACAAGTGCCCCATCATTGGTATTAGTAGGAGGAATAGTGCCCCATCATTGGTACTAGTAGGAGGAATAGTGCCCCATCATTGGTGTCAGTTGAAGAAATAGTGCCCCATTGTTGGTATTAGTCAAAGAAATGGTGCCCCATTATTGGTGTCAGTTGGAGGATTAAAGCCCAATCAACGATGTCAGCTGGAGGAGTGGTGTCAGATGGAAGAATAGTGTCCCATTGTTGGTATTAGTGGGAGGAATAGTGCTGCATCACTGGTGTCTGTTGAAGGAATAGTGCCCCACTGTTGTCATTAGTTAGAGGAGTGGTGTCCCATCATTAGTGTCAGTTGGAAGAATAATGCCCCATCTTTGGTGTCATTTGGAGGAATGGTATCAGCTGGAGGAATAGTGCTCCATTGACAATGTCAGTGGGAGGAATGGTGCCCCATCATTGGTGTTAATTGGAGGAATAGTGCCCCAAGGGGGCACTATTAGGCCACACTTAGGCCCCTAGGCCACACTTTGAAGACCACTATTTTATGTGTAGGGTATTTGTGATTGGATTCTTGTTATCTGATACTGAGGTGCGTGGTCCATCCTTTTGGAACTCTTTTTGTTGATGTTGATTGGTACATGGTCAAGCTCTTTGGATTACAGTTTGACCATTTGGGATGTATAATGCCAACACAGAGCTTAGACATGGTTTGATGTCTGAAGGAACAACAGAGCATTGTGAAATTGCACCAAAACTGAATATAAGTGGGTTGGGGAGGGAGGACCCTTTAAAGCCCAACTCTGGCCACATAAAAAAAATAATTGAAACTACTTCCCCTCCGATGTTGAAGAATCTGTAGCACAATATTTCAAGGGAATGAGCTAGAAAACAGTCATATTTATTTTACTACAAGGTTTTGCGACAGTACTATAAATCAAACAGCATCGTTCCTCCAATAGTTTATCAGTTCTTACTAAAATAAAGACTTGGGGCCGAATGTATACCAGAGGGCATCACCATTCATTGCTGAGATAGGTGTGCTCCTTTTATCTTTTTCCACTGCAGATGGATAGGGACTGGGTTGGATTCGGCCATCCAGCAGTAGTCAGGCAAGCAGAAACATGAGCCATAGTGTGGTTACATCATGGGGAGAAAGAGACAGCAAGAATATAATGTAACAAAAGATGGGAGGGAAATCCCTTGCACAAAGAAGCGTGACAAGGATTATCTATAGATATGTAATAACACAACACACAAAGCCTGGCATGGGAACGCCAGTACACAGCAACTCCCCTTCCCCACCTCATGTCATGGCCTCATACACCCGCAGCAGTCATGTATGCACACAAGTTTTGCCTTTAATGCTATTGAGGATTATAAATACAATTCATGTGACAAATCATACTGATGTTTTCTTTCTTTCCTTTGTTGGGTCTAAATCCCCAGCTTCAGAATTAAATAGATGGTTTGAACAAATCCCCAGACTCTGGGAAGTACAGTAATAATACTTGAGGATTCAATGAAAAACGAAGGTTTGCAAAAATCAGAATTTAATAATAATCTGCAACAGGTTTATGGTCGACTTCCATTTGGCTACATTAAAATGATTTACCCATGCCATGGAAAGCAACATGTTAAAAATGAACTTCACACCCCTCTGCAATTTTGATTTCCTTCCACCCTTTTACCTGTGATGCAGGATTGTCTTCCATTCACATATTCACCTGTCTAGTGGATCCAGCGCTGTTCTGCTGAAATCTGCTACTCAGGTCCCATACTACGATCCTCCTTGGTTGGCTACCTTTTCCAGGTTCAGGCAGCTGGCCCATGATAATGCACACCAGCTCTGCCCACCCACCTCTCAGTGATCTACTCATGAAGCCTTCTGAGATATGGGATTTAAGTGGATATCCTAGCTGCCTATGAGAGTGGAACATGTCATTCTTGCCTAGGTGAGAATGACGGCGGGGGGAATTCAGAGGAAAAAGGTGCCTGGTCGAGTTTTGGACTGGATTTCTGGGCAGAAACTCACAAACACTTAATGCATCATGTGCACGAGCATTGTCATGGTGGAAAATCCACTTGTTAGGCCAGAGTTCCGTTTTTTCCCCAAACAAACTCCTGTAACCTTTTCAGAATTTTGGTTGACCTTTGTGCCATGTTCTTGCATTATCGTGGACATCTTCCCGCCCCTCATTAAACTGCCTATACCATTCAAAAAACACTTGATTCTGTTTACTATAAGCCTGTTGTAACAGAGCGAAAGTTTAATTCCCGCTTTTGCCAATATTCACGCAAAATTTAACATGATTTCTTATGGGACATGTTCAAATCTCAGCATTTTTACACAGTGCGTTTTTTGGAAAGGGTCAGGGACTTTTTTTAAACACAAAACGTTGTGTTTTGGTTCAATAGACCTCAAATGAGACGCGGCACAAATGCATGTAGTGTGTTTTTGATGCGTTTTTGACATGTTTTTGATGCGTTTTGTGTTTTCACTGGCCAGCAACAAGTTGGCAAAAAAGCATTGCAGAAACAGATGAAACGCAGACTGCATAGGTGTGAACCTAGCTGAAAAGAGTGAGGATGTCAAATCCCTGAACTGCTGCAATGACTGCAGGAGCCCTGGCAGGTCAGGTAAGTATAGAGGGTAGCAGGGGGTTGAGGAGGCTGTCCCGTGTTAGTTGGCCTTTATACGTTTTCTGTAAAGCTTGGGCAAGGACACAGGGGCCCCATGATCCCCTATTGCCCAGGGGCCCCATGAGTTGTCAGTCTGCCCCCTGATTGGTACACAGTACTAATGAAGAATTAATACTGGTTACAGAGCTTTGATGGTTTCCCCCCACTGAGGTTTCTGTCTGCACCAGGTTCTCTGTATTATTGTATATTTCATATCTGTCTTTCAGGGCTATCGACAGAAGGATTATTTCATAGCAACACAAGGACCGCTGCCGCATACGGTGGAAGATTTCTGGAGGATGGCGTGGGAGTGGAAGTGTCACACGATTGTCATACTGACAGAGCTGCAGGAAAGGGAGCAGGTATGGCGAGGAGGGGGTTGGGCAGTGATGAGGCTGCTGGCGATCTCATGTCTGCAGTCTTTTCAGATGAGATGAATTTCTCCTGTGTGTGTAGAGGGATCAGAGAGGTTTCCATTGATTTCCACACAGAAATGATGCTGAGATTGCCAGCCGTGATGGACAAATATATTTACAAATCAGGCCAATTGCCAAATTGCACATTCCCTCCTGTAATCCATGCATACAATTTGTCCATGCACTCCATGCTGCATGATCGCTCGAGGTCCTGAATGACGCCATTCTGCACAGATCAGACCGGTCTCCATGTAGATCATTTGATCAATACAAAAATAGGGATTTGCTGATACTGATTTTCAGTTTTTGTTGGCTCGATGAAGAATTTTATTGTGATTTTCAGAACTCAAGGCAAGTAATAAACTATCAATTCTAATGATATTGTGTCCCCCCCAAGCTGATGACGGATTAGAGCCCATTTACATTTATACGGTGTGTGAACGCTTGTTGTGACGCTTGTCAACATACATTCCGTCAAAGCAGCACATTGAGAATAATGGGCTGCCAAAGCACTGAAATAGCCTGAAGATCAGACGGGGACTCAAAAATTGTAACACAATGTTCTATGGTGCATTGACATTCATTGCACTGCGGTGCAACACACGTACATTGCCATTCATTTCAAAATGAATGGCACAGCAATGCTTGTAATGTCAATGTTACTACAACACAATAGTCTACATTGACGCTTAAAGCGGAACTTTACCCATAACAACTTGATAACAATAATGTTTTATAGCAAGGAAGATACATTCCATAATAATAACTGTGCTACTAAAATGAGTGTGTGCTGTAAACTACCTCCAGCATTGCTCCTGTTTCTTCTTACTGGAGGCTGCCATTTTGCTGAAGCCCAGAGACCCTGAGCAGCAATAAATCTTTAGGCTGTCAGTATATCAGCTGCTACATTTTTGGCACAGTGCCGAAAAATAGAGAGGATATATTACTGGATTTTAAACAGCATAGGCACTTATATTTAATGTTTGACATAGCCAGGGATTTTGTTTTACTCAGAAAATATGTGTAAGTATATCCCCCCCCCTTTCAAGTCACTCCTTATCTGCACCATCTACCCACCTCCAAGCACTGACCCTATGGAATTTGTTACTGATAACAAGAAAAACAGTAAAATAGATCCCTTGCAGCCAGTAACAAAAGACCCTCACAGCTACAATAGATCCCCAGCAATGACGGACCCTCCCAGCAACAACAGATCCCCCACAACAAAATACCCCTTCCCCCAGCAACAATAGATCTCCCACAACAAAATGCTCATCTGCCCCAGCAACAAGAGAGCACCAGCAACAAAATACCCCCTTCCTCCAGCAACAATAGAACCGCAGCTACAAAAATGCCCCCTTTCCCTAAGCAACAGCTTAGCAGAAAAATCCCTCCTTCCTCAGCAACAATAGATCCTCAGAAACCGAATACCTCCTCCCCCAGCAACAGTAGATTCTCAGCAACAAAATACCCCCTTCCCCCAACAACAGTTGAACCCCACTGCAACAATAGATCCCCACACCAAACCATTCACCTCACTCAGCAATAGTAGATCCCCAGCAACAAAATACCTTCCTTCCCCCAGAAACAGTAGATCCCCAGCAGCAAAATCATTCCTTCCTCAGAAACAATAGCTCCCCAGTAACAAGCAACAGAATACCCCTTTCCCCCAGCAACAATAGATCCCCCACCAACAAAATACCCCCTTTCCCCAGCAACAATTGACCCCCAAAGCAACAATGGATCCTCGGCAACAAACCCCCTTCCCCCCAGCAACAATAGACCCCTGCAACGAAATACTCCTTCTCCATCAACAATAGATCCACCCTAGCAACAATAGACCCCACCAGCAACAATAAGTCCCCCAGCAGCCAGCATCAAAAGACCCTCCAGCAGCCAGCATCAAAAGACCCTCCAGCAGCCAGCAAAAACAGACTCCCCCCTAAAAAAAAGTAGATCATTCTAGCAACATAAACACCTTCCCCCAGTGACAATAGATCCCCCCACCAGTGAAAACAGATCCCCAGCAGCCAGCACACCACAGCAACCCTTGCCATTACATCATACATTCAGTGCTGGAGGTGCTGGAACTGCATTCCCCAGTGTTTCCACTGTAAAAAGTCCTGGACATAGCTATATCAGAAAAAGGGGCCAGCCTGATGTGATCATGGACACCAAGCATGGAAAACCTAGCTTGCTCCATGGTTTACCAAGCATGGAAAACCTTGCTTGCCTCCATGGTCACCAAGCATGGAAAACCTAGCTTGCTCCACGGTCACCAAGCATGGAAAAACCTAGCTTGCTCCATGGTTACCCAAGCATGGAAAACCTTGCTTGCTCCATGGTCACCAAGCATGGAAAACCTAGCTTTCTCCATGGTCACCAAGCATCGGAAAACCTAGCTTGCTCCACGGTCACCAAGCATGGAAAACCTAGCTTGCTCCACGGTCACCAAGCATGGAAAACCTAGCTTGCTCCACGGTCACCAAGCATGGAAAACCTAGCTTGCTCCACGGTCACCAAGCATGGAAAACCTAGCTTGCTCCACGGTCACCAAGCATGGAAAACCTAGCTTCCTCCACGGTCACCAAGCATGGAAAACCTAGCTTGCTCCATGGTCACCAAGCATGGAAAACCTAGCTTCCTCCATGGTCACCAAGCATGGAAAACCTAGCTTGCCCCATGGTCACCAAGCATGGAAAACCTAGCTTGCGTGAGGTGGATGGAGGAATCCTCCCCTGCAATGGTATTGTAGTTTGACAGCGGGGGACTCCTTCCTACTGCCATGAAGGTCCTTGTCCAGACACTTCCGGTTATAGGGTAACAACACTGCCTGTCTCACAATTGCTATCCTGCGTTATCACCCTGTCACATGCTCTCTTATTACAAGCTGGAAAGCATGCAATGTACATTGTAATCTATCTAGAATTTACATCTACTTCAAAAGGTCTTGTGTGACACCACTTAGTGAGGTTTAATCAGAGTAATTGTGTGTTGAATGTTTTAATTTTTCCTTCACAGGAGAAATGCTGTCAGTACTGGCCATCCGAAGGTTCCATCACATCTGGAGAGATCACTATAGATATAAAGGGTGATCGGTTACTTGACACAATAAGTGTCAGAGACTTCCTAGTGAGCAGTAACCAGGTAAAGAAATATATGATTGGTTTATGTTATACAAAGGGAATTGATAATAGTTTGGGGTCAATGATATTTTATATTTTTTAAAGCTCTTAAGCTGATGATTTGTATTTTAATTTTACTATTGATATGAAATCTTTGTATGATTGCCTTCAGACTGCTTCTCTTTGATCAAAACCACAGACAGTCTCAAATGAAGAAAGCAATCTGGGTCTGGAGGGATGGATAATCCTTCTCATTCTTTAGTGTGTACATCCTAAAAATATATATATATTTTTTAGAACTGACCAGAACAAACAACGGGCAGCACTGTGCTTTAGTGGTTAGCACTTATGTCTTGCAACACTGGGGTCTTCAGTTTGAACCCTGGCCTGGAGACTATCAGAGTTCCCATGCTTGCAAGGGTTTCCACTAGGTACTCTGGTTTGCACCCACATTTCAAGGACATGATCTTGGTAGTTTAATTGGCTTCTTGCTAAATTATCCCTAATATGTGTATAGAAATTGGCTTTGCTCATATGTTATAATATTATGCATGCTGGTCCCAAGCCCTAGCTAATGGGAACGGTTGAGGAAAGACCTGGCCAAGAAAGTTTCATGGAAAAGGCTCTCAAATATATCAGATATAGTGCTCAGACAGCTGGCCCATGGAATCGCCACAAATCAGATTCCACTAAAAGGATATATAGGAAAAGGGAGCCTCTGCTCCAAACCATCAGTCTCCCTCTGCTTCTGGTTGTTCGGGTGCTGGCCCGGGAGCCAGTTCACAGTCACACCCTGATGATGTCACTTCTTCATGATTAAGCCTTCAGTGGGTGAAATGAGTTAGTGGGGATGGCCTTCAGCCTGGGAGTTCAGTGTTTGCTGGACTGGATCACTTATTTATTTATTTACATATATATTGTACAGTCACATTAGTCCCTAACCCGCAAGGGGTGTACAATCTAAGGTCCCTAATTTACATTCATACATAGACATACTAGGACCAATTTAGACAGGAACCAATTAACCTACCAGCATGTCTTTGGAGTGTTGGAGGAAACCGGAGTACCAAGAGGAAACCCATGCAGGCGCAGGGAGAACATGCAAACTCCAGGCAGGAGGTACAATGGCTGGGATTTGAACCAAAGACCCTAGTACTGCCAGGCGGAAGTGCTAACCATTTAGCCACAGTGCTGCCCACAATAAAGTTTTATTTGGAAGTGACTTTATCAGAGTGCAGCCATGTTATTAAATCAAGTTTGCAGCAAATACGTCTTTTATTATTCAATTAATTTGTATCTAGGAAAAGCAAAATAGAGTGGAGAAAAAAAGCTAAAATAAACCATTAGCATACAAGGCCTGAAGGGTAGCTTGATTTGAATAACAACATGAAGCTGTAGAGTGAAAGGGTTTGTATTTTTGCTGTATAACTGACACAAGCCATCGTTTTATAGGAGAAGCAGACACGTCTGGTCCGCCAGTTCCACTTCCATGGGTGGCCAGAAATAGGAATTCCCGCAGAAGGGAAAGGAATGATTGACTTGATCGCAGCCGTCCAGAAACAGCAACAGCAGACAGGGAACCATCCCATCATTGTGCATTGCAGGTGAGACAAAGCCAACCGCCCCACCCTTATGTAAATCCTGTTCTGTATAGCTCTGAGGTCATGTCACTAGTTCTTAGCCAACCGATGGCCTGGGAATTGGTATACCCCTGAACAAATTGCCTACATTCACTATACAGAGGTGACAGGTACTGTACACTTTAAAGGACCAGGGTGAAAAATTACACCTACATTTCAATATAAGGATTTACTAATATAACTAAATATTACTGAGTAACACCATGACCTTTCCTTGGAATGAAAACGCAGCTAATGTGTATATACAGTACACTGCATAATAACCTTATTACCTCTCTGATGGATTTGATGAACTCTTCTTGTCTACAATTTACATTCTGTAAAATTTACAGTAAGATTATGATTTATTACTTATGCAAGTGGTTTTCAATAACTGGGCCTGCAGCCCCTCACCTGGCTGCAGATCCCTTAATCTCCCACAGTGACCCTCAACCTCCTATAGTGGCTTACAGTGCTCCCAGGTCCCTTGAGAGCCTCTAGGCTCCAAAGTGCCCCCAACTTCCCACATTGCCTCCCAGTCTCCCACACTGCCCCCCAACCTGCTGCAGAGCCTCCAGCCTTCCATGCCGCCCATCCTCTCATAGTGTCCCACAGTGCCACTCCAACCTCCCACTGTTCTCCCCAGCCTCTTCCAGGAATCTCATTCCCTACAGGGTCTCCAAGTCTGCAGAAAAGTCCCCTAACCCACTTGACATCCTCCATTCTTCCCACAGTGATACCCAATCCCATTCAGGGCCTTCAAGCATTTCAAGACATGCTTTACATTCCCATACTTCTATTGTGTGTGTGTGTACACTTTATCCTTTTTGTTGGGGCATCAATGGTTTTCAAAGAATTTTCCAGACCATGGTCTTGAAAAAGGTTAGGAACCACTGGCCTATGCAATTGTAAGCTGGCAAAAATTGAGATCCAAACAGAGATGGTAATGGAGCACAAACAAATACTCATAATTCCTAATTCACAGTGCAGGCTATTATGTGCTATAATTAAATGACAACATGGTTAAAGTCTTAATTGACTAACATTTGCAAACCTTTATTGACCCTGGGATCACTTGTTGATGTCTCTCCCCCCTCCATACTCTTCTGCATGTTGCTGGGGTGGGATCAGAGTATGGAAACCTCACACTGTGATACTGGAGTTAAAGTGTATACATAACCAAAACTTTTTTTTGTAGTTTTTGATAGAGTCAGAAAGGATTGGAAATGCTGTCTGTTTTTTATTGCTTGTAATACGTCAAATCCCAAAAAATTAATCTATAGCTGTGGATGCTTGACTAAATGGCAACACAGTGCGAATCCCAACATAGAAAAGAGCCAGCACTCCAAATGAACTTCCAATGGTTGGACCATAGGACACCAATGTTCTGAAGGCATGCAGACCCTTTTTTTCAATGTTAGAAGACTATCTTGTGCGTACCGGTGGTGTTTCGACTGTAATATAGGACTTCAGCAGCATCATCTTGGAAGTTCATTTGGAGTGTTGACTCTTCTTTCTATGTTTGGTTTTTATAGCTGTTCAAGTTCTCACCAGTTTCATTCACTCTCTCTGTTTGTCCTGGTGACCATTACCTTTGAGATAGAACATGATGGGACATCTAACAATTTAGAATGGTCACCAAAACAAGAGATGAGAGAAAATCTTCCTACCTGTTCCAACCTATTCTAGTGACAACTGTCTAAGAAGGGAATTCATAGAGAACACAATTCCAAAAAGGAAAGAAGAATGGGAATATTTATATTATGCATGTATTCAATACAAACTCATACAGAAAAACATTACAATTTATTATTTTTAGTATTAAAGCAAGATGTTTTTCTGACATTCCTTACTTTTCTTGGTTAGACCATAGGACAAAGATCCATTACAGTCTGCTAATGACATGCCATATTTTACGGATTATCTGTACAGATAATGTGTGGCATGTAATCATGAGACTGTAATGGATCTTTGTCCTATGGTCTAACCAACAGAAGTAGTGAATGTCAGAAAAGAAGTTCTGTTTTTATGTGAAGAAATAAATAAAAATGGATTGCTTTTATATATGTGTTGATATTGAATATTTTTGTACAATAAATATCCTCATTCATCTTTCTTTTCAATTCTGCTTTATGTAATTTCAAAGATAAAACTGAATTACTCCCTCTGATCCCTCATCCAATCTCTATGTATCTATCTAAGAGGGGAATTCCCCTCAATGGAATACTCTGGAAATTATGGGAAATCTCCTCAACAGGACGCAGATAGCAAAATACAAACTTACAGGGGCTTTAACTCCTACCTACTCTATCCAAACCTAAAAGAAAATTGGGGCATATACTGTATATATACTGTAAGCTTTCTATTCATCTAGTTCAGGTTCAGAAACAAATGTACTTACCACTGGAAAATATCATTTAACACTCACAATAAGGCCAAGTACAGTATGTGGTCACTTAGATGTACAGCAAATCTGTTCCTTTATATTTTTTACAAACTCTTTTCAGTTATCAGTATTAAAGCTTAATTCGGGGCACAAAAACTTTCATTTAAATATATTCGCTACAAAATATATAAATCCACTTTGTGGCAGTAAATGGCTTTGCATATCTAGATATTACTATAAAAAAGTAACAGTGGGATGTGGGAGGGGACCAGCGAGTCCACCCACTACAGGCTGCCTGCAGAAAACTACAGGAGGGGGCGGAGACAAGACCAGAAACCTTTCAAAAAGAGAGAGAGACGCAGTGGCCAGTCTTTATTACAGGAAGCTCCTGAAAGAAATACAGGAAGAATGCACATGACTTTTGTATTTAGACAGTATTTGCTTAATCTGGAGTACAGCTATAACTCAGAGGTGCCTCCTGATCTGACAGTACGGTCTGTATCCCCACTGGGGAAATTTAACTTTCTAATTATTCTGGTGACTACTGTTACCGAGATAGAAAGTAAGTGGAAATCCAAAATCTTGGAGCTTTCATGAGCAAAAGACAGTGGGGTTGATTCACTAAAAGCAAATAGACTGTTCACTTTGCAAAGGGAGGTTTCACTTTGCACAGTGGCATACCTAGAACCTTCAGGGCCCATTGCAAGAAAGCATGAAGGTCCCCCTGTCCATGGCACTTCCCTCTGACCCCGAGGTTGGAACGCCAAGGCCCAGTCACAAGTGCAACCTTTCTGACCTTGGTAGTTCTGCCACTAGTGTCTGTAGTTTTGTTCATATCTGTTATTGTTTTTCCATTTCTTAATTTTTTTTTACAAAATTATGTTTTTGCAATTTTTTTAGGAGCCCTATTGGGGGGCTTTGGTGAAATATCGGGTGTCTAAACAGACCTCTATTGTTCCAACTTTGACACAGAGAAAGGAGATTGAGGACACAGCCCTCAATCTACATTTCTGCAGCCTGAGCTGCAGTAAAGGAATGGACAGGAACAGCTCTGTACAGAGCTTTCTGTTCATTCATAAACCGAAGCACATTAAACACAGTTTACTATGCCTCAGTTATAAATGAACAAAGTCAGTGATTGGTACAGATCACTGATTCTATTTATCAAGACAAGGTATGGGGCTGGTAAATGACACATTTACCGGCCCATTTCCTGTTCTCCATTCTGACAGCGGCCGGCAGGAGAGGGGAGGGGTGAAGCAGGCAAAGCTACAGAGGACAAGGGGGGCCGGGAAAGAGCACAGGGGGGCAGGAGAGCACACAGGTGGATAGCAGAAAGGAGCTGGATAGGAGGAGCAATGGGAGCGGCTACATGCAGACAAACTGGTCTCCCCATTTACCCCTGCAGCCACTAAATGCCTGCGAGAGAAAGAGGAGGAAAGGTGGCAGCTGCAGGAGGAAAATAGATTGGTTTCTCTGTATGCAGCCACTGCTCCTATCCAGGTGTACAGGGGGGCCTCATGGGCTCCCTGGAGCATGGGGCCAGATCACAATTGCGAACCCTGTAGGTACGCCCCGGACTTTGCATGAGAATTTTCCCCATGATGAGTGAAACTTTGCTGACTTCCATCATCCAGTAGTGTGCAAGCAAAAATCTTGTTTTATTTTAAATTTCCCTTGCATGTGATTGGGTTTTTTTTTGCAAAGCGAAATTTCACCGCATTCACTAAGCTTTAGGGAAACTTCCCTTGAAATGTCGACTTCCATTGCAAAAATAAACACTTATTTGCAGTTAGTAGAGCAACCCTAGCATGTCTCTTCTATAATCAAAAGGAAAGTCCTGCTCACAAGTTTTAAAAGGTACACTAAAGTTCCACTTGAAGTTCCGCATGGCCTGTCTTTCCTATATTTAGCCCCGCAATCCCCAGGTAGTATTACAGACGTTGTGAATCATAGTCTGCCCTATCTCAATAGGAAGTTGTTGGTTTGATGTTTACTTGCTGACAGATAATTGTGTATTCCTTTGTAGTGCTGGTGCTGGAAGAACGGGAACATTTATCGCCTTGAGCAATATCCTGGAGCGGGTGAAAGCCGAAGGGTTACTAGATGTTTTCCAGACTGTGAAAAGTTTACGCATGCAAAGGCCACACATGGTGCAAACACTGGTAAGAAGGAATGACATCTTCACATCCACATGATCTAGGAACCTAAAACAAAACAGATCTAACCTATGGAATAGATGAGAACAATGTTCAACATAACGCCAGGATTGTCCCTGATTTCCAGTCTTGTCCCTGCAAAGCTTTGTTCTTTTTGGTTCTTAAAACAAACTTTATAATTTGCCAAGCCATTATCTGTTACAGTGTATGTAAACCCAAAACTTTTTTTTTTAATTTACAGAATAGGAAAAAGATTTTTTTTTTTTAATCTTTAACCCATTGGAAAGATTTCAGTTGACTTCCTGTTTTGGAAAGGTGACAGGAAGTGAGAGCAAATCTCTTAAAATTGAGGTAAATCACCTTTCAGGGCTCTTGCACACGTGCACCAAAGATGACACTTTTTAGGCATTGTTTTTTTTTTCTGATCCAAATACAACCCATTGCTTTCAATTGGTCTAAATATCAGTAAATTGTGTGTTTAGATTAGAAAAAAAATAATCTGCGCTGTTACTGGTCAGTATTCTACTGACGCACAAATATGCACATAAATTTACACCTCCCCTATATCATTTAGCATTGTGAGAGCTAGAAGAATTTTTAGGTGTGTAAGTGCATTTATACATGAAAAAGCGCACACTATACAGGCCAAAATGTTGTTTTTTGGGCAGGAACTTTCTGCCAGGAAGATCCAGCATTCATACATTAGTGTCATGTGTAAGGACCATTAGAGTTGTCACCAGAATATTTATATAAATATTTATTTATTATAAAAGATAACTTAAAACAATGAGTTAAAACAATAAAATGAAAACATGATATTGTGGTCCAAATACTGCAAATATTACTTAACATCAAGTTGATCTGAGGTTCAATAAAACAGAGAACCTTGTTTTTTGGGAATTTTTTTAGAGATATGGTCTCAGATGTCCATAATGTATAAAGCTAGCAACTCGGTGTACTCTTAATAAAGAAATCTTTTTCATTGGCTACATATAAAATGGCACAGCATCAAAAATGCAACGTGCTTCGGCTTATACAGCCTTCCTCATAGCATAGCACGGTATGCTAAAAGGAAGGCTGTATAAGCCAAAACACATGGTATTTCTTATGTTTTGCCATTTTATATGTAGCCAATAAAAGGATTTCTTTAAGAGTACACCAAGTGACCGGCTTTATACATTATGGACTTATGCTTTGGGAGATGAACGCCCCAGCCAGAGCACTGCTCTCCGGTTTCTGAATCTTGAATACAGCAGTAGATCTGGGGTAAGGATGGCCATTTCAATCCAGTCCCATACTCCTATTAGTTTCCCATATCCCCAAAGTGTATGGATACCCCTGGCTGTGGACCCCTGATCTAATCCATTTCTGTCTTGTTTTGCAGGAACAGTATGAATTTTGCTACAAAGTGGTACAAGATTTTATTGACATCTTTTCAGATTACGCCAATTTCAAATGAAGGAGCTGGTCTGGTTTCTGCACTGACTTATGGGATATTATAAATATATTTTTTGTTTGTTTTTTTTTTTTTTTTAATCTTGCTCCTGGTTTTAAAGCTTTTGTATTCTCCTCTGCTACCAAATAACAAAATGTTTTATGTTTCTCTTTCTATGTTCAGTATGATGTATAGAGATTCCAATACAAACCTTCACCAAGTGGAGGAAATGATATATGTATATTACTGTAAATATGTATTTATTTACAATAAGGCATGTATATTACCCTGACATATTTTTCTTATTGGCCGTCTGCTTTTTATGACATAAATAAGATACGATTGGACAAGACGTGGGGGGTATTCATGTGGTATTATGTTTTTATACTACAGTTCCTGTATTTCTCATAGATGTAGATCTGCAGCTTATTCTTGCTTTCATCTAAGTCAGCTCAAGAAGCAAGTGCAAGTCATCCTTGGCAATAGTTTTCATGCAGCAAGTGCTAAAATACTTCCTTACTGTTTTGTAATTGACTGACTCTTGCATGTGCAAAAGAGTATTTCAGTTGATTTTTAATGCTTCTTTAAGCAAGACTTCATGCCAGGATGCCACCATGCCAGAACTGGATCTCACAAGGCCCTTGGAGAAATATGCACCAGCAAGTGCAGTTATCTAACTTGCTTTATTCGTCCTATTGTGTTGTGTGTTATCAGCCTCACCAGTTTGACTTTCTTGGCTCTTACCAGCATGAAGGCCATCCCTTTAAAAGTTTAGCATCCTTTATGGATCTTAGTTTGGAAGGCCCAGATGCTCATCAATATAAAGGAGGAACCCTGTAGTTCATTTGAACCTAATGTGATACTGAATATTGTTCCTTGAGGAACTCTTTTTTTTTTTCTTTCTTTTTCGGTTGCTGTGAGCAAACCACAGAACAGTAAGGAGGAGCAAAAGATTATCAACGCTACCATGGAAGCATTTGCCAAGAGAAGACTTTCCAAGGACAGGCTGGAAGCAAGAGTGGTTGGAGAAATTTAGATAGATATAATATAGATAGAAAATAGATATGTATAACAAGGGCTAGAGTTACTGAAAAGTGAAGCTTGGCAACTGTGAAGATTGACACTGAAAGTGACACTGATAGTCCAGGCGTTGCACAAGTTGTATAGGTTGTACATTAATGGTATTCATTTCCTACTTGCTTTAAGAGCACCCAGCTCCCAGGTAGCACCATTCCATGTCTCTCCTGGCTTTCCAGCATTATCCTAATGGAGAGATCTGTGAACTAACAGAGTTAGTGGCCAGATGTGCACAAAGTGAAGAGAACGCCTCTATGAGCTTTTAGATGTACTCTGTTTGTCTTTGTACATTGTATGAGATCATTTTGTTTTAAAATTGACCTTGGCCATTTGCTGCCCAAACTTCTGGCTTGGCCAAGGATAAAGTAGAATAAGTTCTAAGTATATAAATGAAACAGCACACTGGCATAGTGTGAGACTCTCAAACAATCTTTAATTAGTTAAAATAAACATATTATACTCACAAAAGTGTGGGTAAAGATGTGCTTCTCACATAATTGCCATAAGGAACATCTCATCTGTTCATTAGTGCTTCACTCTAATATCCTGGATAACCTGTTTCGAGGCAGCACCTCTTCATCAGAACCAGCTCCAGTTCCAGTTGGCTCTGATGAAGAGGTGCTGCCTCGAGACATGTTATCAGAGGTCTTTCTTTGAATGAAGCACTAATGGACAAATAAGATGTACCTTATGGAAATTATGTGAAAAACATGTCTTTATACCACTTTTGTGAATACAATATGTTTTTTTTTAACAAATTGAAGATTGATTTTTTTTGAGGATCTTGCACTATATTATGCCAGTCTGTTTCATTTGCACTTTATTTGAGGATTCTTTGGTCTGGAGAGAGCTGCAAGGACGTGGGTATTTTATCTACTAAGTTAAAGAAATATATACATGGAAGACAGCTTTTACCTAGAAAATGTAAGTGATTGTTAAGACAGATATGAGAACGATAGCTACTGCAGACTGACAGGCAGAAGCTGTATTTGGTACTGTATTTAGTAGCTGAAATTTGCTGTATGATATTGTAAACTGGAATAAGCACATCTTCAATGTATGTTACATGTAGGTTTGAGGGAGGAAGGCTGATCGTTGATTACAGAGAGCCATATCACCCACTTAGAACAAAGGGCACTGAATCATCTCCTATCTGTTGAGTGCACCACAGCATCTCTGCATTCTGATACACCACCAGCACCCAGAGGTGTTCAATGCGTTTTCTGCTGTGACCTGCACAACTTTCTCCCCAGGTTTTCCAGAGGTCAGGGTGTGTTGCTCAGTGTTCATTCCATCTCTACATGCATTGACAAGCCCTCAGTCCATCATCACTTCAATATTGCACTGCTCAAATGCCACATGTGATCCTCCAATCTGCTGCATTGCTTTGTGTCATTCATGCATCACCGCTACTTACAGAATAGAATAATCATAGGTGTGTATACAATATAGAGTGCACAGACTGCCATGCAGGTTAGTGGAGTGCTTAGTAGGCTCACAATAATTAGAATTTAGAGTTAGAGTATATTTTATTATATTTAAGCAGGAATATGTGTGATGGTCTCAGACAGGCCTGGAGCATGCTGCAATTTTGTAACAATGTGCAATATTTTCTCCAAATGACATGAGACTGCCCATGTGCCATAGGGATCGTCACACGATACAGTGAGTGTATTGGGCACAAGTGACTACAGCAAAGGACCTCAGAGGACCAATGCACTTTCTGCAAAGGATTCAGCAAATCAGTTGTGCACATGGAGCCTTGTTTTTATTTACAAAAGAAATGGATTTACATTTTTGGTGGAGTAGGGTATGGTTTGATGCCAGGTCTTTACTGGGGTCTAGGATACTAGAGTGTGGGAAAGGTAACATCTGTAAAATGTACCCTCTGCTTTATTCTCAATAATGTAGAGATTTCACTTTGGGTGGTGACAAATGTAGCTAACCTGAAAATCCAAGCCAGGTCTGTCATATATCCATAGCCATAACTTATATAACTATGAAAGAGCCAACATGTGCAAAATGTAATATATTGACTTCATTAATTATATTTACAATTGTTTTTATATCCATGTACAACACCATAAAGGTTATACTAAAGTGCTCAGAGATTTTTTTGACAGTAAGGTATATATTTGAAAGAGCAGACAATACTGTATGAAAAATTTATAAACTGTATCATTGAAAAAGAAAAATTACGTTCAAGGAAGATCTATTTCTTTGCATTTACAAGGACTGAACTTGTTGGTTTATGAAATGACAAAATTCTGTGTATTTATGGGAATAGCCATTTGTGAAGGCATTTAAAAGCACTAACCATGTTTTTAGTTGTATTTTATATTTGTCCAATATAAGTATTAAGAGTTAAATCTAAAATGAAATATATGGGTAAAGGTCTCTTGAGATCAGTAACTGTCCCTAGGCCCATGTGGTTGAAGGGCCCAACCTTGACAGTTTGTGGGTACATTACAGCCTGTATGGGTTATGCTCTGTCCTCATTTCCCTTTTCTGGTTTTCTGGCTATCCACTATTCTAGGTGTATCAGTATTGAAATAAATTAATGTTTTATATACTTTTATTATAAACTATTATTCAAAGGTCTGAACGGGAGAACGAATGGGAAGGTATCTGATTGAGATATGGGCTCCTCAGTTTTAATCTTGCTGTGACTTTTAGCTAAATCTCTGGGTACACTGTAAGATGTTCTTGCTACAGGACATCATTCACTTTCTATGATTGTATTAGCTTTTCTTTTGTATTTTTTCTTTTTAGCAGTTGACATTTGGCACAGATTACATTTTTGCCTTAATCTCCCCTTATGTCTTCCTAAAGCTGGCCATACGTGGTTAGGCTTTCATTTGAACGTTCAAAGAAAAATCGTCAAAACATTCTTTCTTGCCATCATTGACTAATTTTCAAAACTCTTAAAATTTTGTCCAGACCTGCTATTTGAATGGAATCCCAGACGTATTAAACAGGTTTTAGTCCAATATGTACAATTTTTTCCTGAAAGTAAATCACCTTAGAATTTTGTTGGTTAGAGAAAAATTTTCCATCCTGCCCCTTCAAATTTTCTAACCATTAGAGATTTGAACAAATGTTTCAAAAGCAAATTTTTTTGCACAAAATTCTACTGGTGAATGTCCAGCTTAATTTTCACTTGTACGTCTTTGTGAGGTATGAGATCCTCTTTCAAATTAAAACAAAAGCCTGAATAGTAGTTCAGTATCAGGGACTATACCAGACAACGCTTGGGTGATTTACAATCCTAAAGCCCATCCTAAATGTGTATGTTAGATATTGCAGAGGGACCACTGCTTCCCACACAGAGCAAAGGCTTTTCTCCACAGCATGTTGGCAGACTTTTCTACTCAGGCTGTGGCTGCTTTCCTAAGAATACAAACTTAGCACATCATTTGATATGATGCACTTGGAATGTATTTAGCTGATTTAAACTGGAGGTCCATTTTGGCTTTAAGTGACATGGTCATGTGTGTAAAATGCCATATATGTTATAGAGTGAAGAAAATCAATGTTTTTTCACATCTTTTAACAATTTAAACTATTCGCCTAGACCAGCCTTTCTTAATTTTCTCAAGACAGGGGAACCCTTGTAATAACTTTCCGGTCTCAGGGAACCTCTTCTAAAAAATACTATATCTACAACTCATGATACATCAGTGTAATGGTCAGTGGAAAGAATGCTCCTTACATTTGTGGTCATTGGGAAGAATGACCCCTTACAGATAGCTAAAAAGATCAATGGTGCCAGTGTGAACATATCTGAGTTGAAGAAATTGCTCAAGGAACCCCTAAACCCTGTGGAGGATCCCTTGTGACCCCTGATTGAGAAACCCTGACCTAGACCAACTGAAAATAGTGCCACAACCATTAGTATATGTTTTCCTCTCTGATTAGCACAAAGAGATGAAAACAATTTATAAAGC